TACAGGATTAGTCATGTAAAGTAGAAAAAAAACAAAAGGAGAGTTCTTCCAACAACTGGTTCTCTGAACTGCTTAGAAAGTTAACAACCAGTTCTCGAGAATAGGTGTGAACCTCTTGAATTCCACCACTATCTGGAAGCTAATATTTTAAAGATTTATATTGTTTGTTAAATGAAATAACTTACTCTAATTATCTCTTACATTGAACTGATTGAATGAGTGGAGTGATTAAATTTTCACAGTGGCAGCTTCTGTGTTGACATCACCATAAAACAAATAAAACAAATGCTAAACATTGCAGTTATTTTTTTTCTTGCTTCTTTTAAACATCAGCAGGATACATATAAAGCTTTGGTCCCAATTCTGTGTGTAAAGATATGCAAAAATCCAGAAATCTAAAAAAGGCCCAATTCTTTTTTCATAAAAACATATTTTGGGGAGAGTAATGGTATCTTTAGACAATTTTATTATTTTATTGTTTTTCATAAAACTGAACTAGTTTGAGATTTGTCTCAAGAGAGAAACCATAGAAAAAAGTTTCTTGCAGCAAAAACAGGTTGACAGGTTGACAAACAAATGGTCTACCCTTTATCAGATGTATCCAGATAGGTGGATATTTTACATCACCTTTGTGCACTGTACAGGGAATTGGGCTCAATGCTTGAACAGCCTCTTCTGTCTCTATGATTCTACAATGAGGGGTTCCCTGAATTTTCTCTGCTTTGCCAACAATAATTTGGGGAAAAAACCCTAAATCTTAAAATATCACTTGAGTTTATTTCTCGAATACAAGAGATTATTAGATAAATCAATCTATTAATTGACTGGAATGGTCTGATATAAAACAAAGATCTTATGAACAATATACTATACCGAGGACACCTTTCTTAGAATGACTGTCATGACTTATGCTGTTTATATTTTGTATCTGTGGTTCTGATTCATAAAATTTAAGACACTGGGTGTTGTTGATTTTTTTGCTAAATTAATGAGAAATACTGGTATTTTTGATACTTTATTTCTTTTCAATATAAATTTATTTATTTATTTATTTGATTTGCCAATTGTTTACAAGATAATAAGTATAAATGTATACATAGTTGTGAATACATGAAATGGGTACATATAAGAAAAATAAAAGAATAAGAGAAACAATAGGACAGGGACGGTAGGCACGTTGGTGCGCTTATGCACGCCCCCTACAGGCCTCTTAGGAAAGGGGTGAGGTCAATAGTAGACAGTCTAAGGTTAAAGTTTTTGGGGTTTGGGGAAGAAACTACAGAGTCGGGTAGAGTATTCCAGACATTGACCACTCTATTGCTGAAGTTGTATTTCCTGCAATCAAGTTTGGTGCGGTTTACTTTGAGTTTGTATCTATTGTGTGCTCTTGTGTTGTTATGGTTGAAGCTGAAGTATTCATTGACAGGTAGGACATTGCAATGTATGATTTTATATACCATGCTTAAGTCAGACCGAAGACGGCGTAATTCAAGGTTTTCTAGTTCTAGAATTTCAAGTCTGGTGGCATAAGGTATTCTACAACGAGTAGAGGAGTGGAGAACTCTTCTTGTGAATTATTTCTGGACTTTCTCAATTGTGCTAATATCAGATACGTAATGTGGGTTCCAGACTGATGAACTGTATTCGAGTATTGGTCTAGCAAATGTTTTGTATGCTCTGGTTAGTAGTGTGATATTACCAGAGAAAAAGCTACGTAGGATTAGGTTAACAACTCTTAATGCCTTTTTGGCTATGTAGTTGCAATGGGCTCTAGCACTTAGATCATTAGAGGTGAGTATTCCAAGGTCCTTTACAGAGCTTGGGTCATCAACAAGATCTTGACTATTCAGCTTGTATTTTATTTTCTGATTTTTTTTGCCAATATGTAAGACAGAGCATTTATTTGTTGAGATTTGAAGTTGCCATTTGTTTGACCATTCTGATACATAGTCAAGATCTTTTTGTAGGGTAGCAGTATTGTCTGTGGTATTGAACAGCTTTACATCATAAGCGAAGAGAACGCAATTGCTCTTAATATGATCACAGAGGTCGTTTATGTAGAGTATGAAGAGAGTTGGTCCTAGAACACTGCCTTGGGGAACACCACTATTGACAGGTACTGGATTTGATAGGACGCTCCCGATTTTGACCATTTGTTGTCTGTTTGACAGGAATGCTTCTATCCAGTTATTCAGTTGTCCAGAGATACCATAGGATTTTATTTTTAGGAGTAGTTTGTCGTGTACCACTGAATCAAAGGCTTTACAGAAGTCTATGTAGATTGCGTCTATTGCTTTGCCCTGGTCGAGTTGTGTCGTCCATATGTTTTTGCAGTGTAAGAGTTGCAGATTACAGGATAGTTTTTTTCTGAAACCAAATTGTTTATTGGAGAGTAGGTTATTTGTCTCTAAGTGGAGGATGATGGATTGGTTAATAATTGATTCCAGTAATAATTATAATAATTATATTTATATTAATAATAATAATTGTAATAATAATAATAATAATAAATATAATTATATTTATATTAATAATAATAATTATAATTATATTAATAATAATAATTATAATTATATTAATAATAATAATTGATTGCTCTAGTAATTTTAAACTTTCTGAAATGTTTAGAACTATTGTGAAAATAAATGGGCTCTGTGTTTCCAGTTCTGCATAAGGATCAGCTAGGGGAGCGGGGAGGGGAGGAGAGCTATCTCCTTTGTTAATTATTACTTTGTTAAATTATTACTGTCAACCTTAATCTGGTTAAATGCCCCATCAGGCTTAAGTTTAATGTGATTGGTTCCAATGTTTCCCCTTTTTAAAATTAGATTATATGATTTATCACCTTGGACAGTTTATTAGGAATTTCCTGGCACACTGCCATTTTGACCTGTTAACATAACACAGCAAAGGTAATTGAATGAAGTTCTTTCCAAAGGCAAAAGTCTTCCAGTTTCTAGCCTGGAGTTGTAAACCAGTACACCAAACTGGCTCCCCAATGCACTGCAAGAGCTACTTACAGTGTCCAGTGAGCATCAGGATAGCAAACTATCCGAAGGGAACACACAGCTCGACTAATCATCTTCCACAGATGGCAATATTTTTTTAAAATTTATGTCATAATAATTTATTTCAAATGTGCAATCATGCATAAGATTAATTTGTATACACTTTATGCAAAATTGCAATTTCATAATTGCAATAATTGCAAATTATTTTTCATCTGTCAGACAGCTGCAGTTCTCTGAGAATATTAAAGTGACACACTAACAGGCCATTAGAATTATAATATAAAGTGGACTTTGACAAAACATAAGAATGGTTCTGTAATATTTGTCACAGTCTAAATAATCTACTAATTCAGATGCTACCAGGAATCAAGAGATTATGGGAGTCACAGTCACAAGTCTCTGCACGCTGATTAAATACTACCTTCTGGATTAAAGTCATACATGAATTTTGGAGTACAAATTGAAAAATATGACCATGGTTAAAATAAGTCAGAAAACTACATTATATTATTAAAGTATCAACCATCAATCTAAAAGCTCTTTGAGTTTCTATCGCTATCCTTAATCTAAAGTCTGAAGGTGGAATAATTTATCTTCATGCTGTATAACAGTCCAATGAACAAAAATGTGAAATTACATGCATAGTTCTCTGCACAACTTATTTGAAGAAAATGATATTAAACCCGTCACTTTGATGGACAAGGCAAAGCTAAGGTAAAGACTTCATTCTGTTCTGATGAAAAATAATTGTAGAATGTGGAAGTTTTATCTGAATATAGTCATTCAACCATACAGAAATGTTAAGGTATACAATAAGAGGATCAGAATACTGTACCTTCAGAGAAACAATTACAGGTTGCAATCTTAAGGTGGTTTACCTAGATTTAGACCAAATGAATTCAAGGCAGCTTAATGAGTAAAACCACACAGCTAGAAAATCAACTTTAGAAGGCAATTTCCAAATTACATAAAATACTGAAAAGACAAATCATATAATCAAACTGTATCTTACAGCACCTTCAGGTCTGTCTTATTACAATAAAAGCTTTAATGGGCTAGATAACCTACAACAGAATTTTACCATCAATGTAGAAATCATATTATTTAATATAATGTAATAGAATTTGAATTTATAATTTAATATAATTTACAATGGAACATGTATGTTTCACCATTTTTTCTTGTCCTCAGTGCATAAATACATTTTCATAAGGAAATTTGTTACAAATATCATAAATCTACATATAATTTTCCAACTCATAATATTCTTAAATAAATCTAAAGGGAATCCATTATCTCTTTACAGCAAACTCATTACAGTAAAATTACCTAGATTGTAGCTTTAGGTTCCTAGATTGTGGTTAATAAGATACTACAGAAACAAAAACTTTGGATCAGTTGATTATGCAAGTATATTCTCTAGATTCTGTGTTACCTAGCAACCTCAAATTTTTCTGTGTATGTTCCTTGACACCCAGGAAAGAAAAAAAATATGTATACCATCTGTATTATTTTAAAAGTGCCTTTAAAAATAATGAAGAAATTTTCCAAATAATGTAATTTTACATGAAATTGTCTGTAATTATTATTTATACAGATGCTAAATAGCAATATCTAATAAAACAATTCTTCACATTACCATTATTTACTTCATATTAGAGTACAAATAATACTATTATAGTAAGTGAAGAGTTAATAAGTAAAAAGAACCCCTAACAGTTCCTCTTAGATCAGTCAGTCGAAGTTACATTCTCTAGCTTTCACTTATTTTAACAGTTAAAATTTATGCAGAATTAACTTTGTTTTAATATATTTAACAGAAGTTTTGTTTCTTTGAAGAAAGCAAAACTATTTTCGACTTTATTGTACTGCATTATTTGGTTGTAGGAAATACTATTATTGCTATTACTACTATTATTGTCAGCTATCCAAAATCATTCCGGTGTTGGGCCACACAAAATCAGATCAATTATAGCTAAGTACACGTACCTGATCTTGAGATTTCTTTTTCTTCTTTTTCTTGCCCCAGCATCCAGAACTTTCAGCATCTTTCCCATTGGCATCACCACAAAGTAAACCATCAAGTTCATCAGTCCCCATTTGCTGTCCCTGAGATGTTTCTGCAGCGAGTCTATATGAGAGGTTCCTTAAAATGCACACACAGTTTTCAACGGTCTGAAAGAATGAGAAAATGAATAAATTATAATACATTTAGAATGCTCATATTCATCAGAAAAGTTATCAGTTTTCTTTATAGCCTTGTGCTAGCTGAAATACCCTATCATGGCACAGGCTAGTTTTCCTATAAAAAAAAATACACTTTTATTCCAGGAAGGGTTTTTTCTCTCTGTGTATGTGCATATTTTCAAATATGCAGCTTGCTGTATGAAAATCATTGTTACTTCAATGAAGAATTTAAATAAAGCAAATTATATTTCTTTGAGGGAATAAAGTCACTGTCTGGATGTAACAGGAATGTGAATATTGAAAGAGAACAAAACCAAAGATAAAATGTGTTAAACAGGTTTCACATATGGAGTTCCAAAAAAAAAAAAAAAGGAATACCCTCATGTGTATTCGAAGGATCATCTATCATTCCCTCTGGTGAAAATAATAGATCTGCAATTTAAATTCTCTCCAAAACTGATAGAAATATCACATAGGAATCTTAGGGAATCCATGCCGAAATGTAGTAAACTTGTGAGCAAACCTAACTTAATTTTTTTTAAACTTTTCATTTAAAACAATTTATGATTCAACTTAAAATGGTTAGGTGTTAGAATAATCTTATGAAGGATTATAGGTAATTTACTCCTTGCTTGCAAATTCACTCCCCTTTGAATTTTAAGAATTGAAAAAAAGAACAAATAAACTACAAGTCTTATCGTGCGTAAGATAAAATACAATAGAAACGATTGATTCTCTCCTTTGCAACTCATTAAAACTGCCTTTAAAAAACCACAGATGATTTCCTGGGGTTTCTATTAGGATTTCCTCAAATAATCTACATCTATGCTTAAATCTGGCAGAATTAGCACTGCAGGGTCTGATTCCTACCTCCTATAATCTCCTCATGGTGCTGCTTGCAGGTTTCTATTTTTTAATACTCTTACTATCCTGGTCAATTAATCAGGTAAGAATTTATGAGTCCAATTTAGGCAATTCTGCAGAAATAATACACAAATAAATCTCACCTCCCTAGTTGTAAGAACAGACAGGAAGATTAGAGCATAATGTCTATGAAGATTCTCAGTTATCCAGGTAAAGTTGTCTGAAGTCAGGACTGCTGGACTTATTTTTCTTATTAGTTTGAGACATTTTGTTGTTCATCCAAGAGCTTCATCAGTTAGAGAAAGTTAGTCAGGCAGAAAGTTGTTGGAAGTACCAACTCTTCCTGCACCAACTTCAGGGGTTTCCTCCCCAAAGTATGTTGCAGTATGTCAATGAAGATTCTCAATCGTCTAGGAAAAGTTGTCTGAAGGTTGAATCATGGAAACTGGTCTTATTTTTATTCTTAGTTTGAGATGTTTCACTGTTTATCCAAGCAGCTTCATCAGTTAGATCAAGTTAGTTAGGCAGAAAATCATTGGAATGTACCAACTTCTCATGCACCAAACTTTGAGTTTTCTTCTCAAATGCATTGTAATATGTCAATGAACTTGTGCTTGCACTTGGGGAGGAAACCCCTTCATTGAGGAGTTGATACATTCCAACGGCTCTCTGCTTAACTAACTTGCTTTGACTGCTGAAGCTTCTTGGATGAGCGGTGAAACATCTCATACTAACAAGAAAATTTAGAGCATAATCTTATGTCATTTTAAGTTTATCTTAATAAGTGCATTGTTAATTGGGTGTAAATTGCATTCATTCAATTTTGTATTAGATATGTCAAATATTTAAATAAATGGTGACAAAAATTTATCTTTGCCCCATTATTACATCAGACAAAATATTTCAAATTGGAAATCGGTCTTCAATCAAGACTGAAAAATTATCCCTATCCAGTTATATTTGATATATTGACTCACAGTTTCAGTATGTACATGTTATTTCATCTGTTTCACACATATCAGCTACATCAGAGGTGGTATTCAGCAGGTTCTGACCAGTTCTGGAGAACCGGTAGTGAAAATTTTGAGTAGTTCGGAGAACCAGCATCTGATTGGAGATTTTACAGTATCCTTCCCCTGCCACGCCCACCAAGCCACGCCCACAGAACTGGTATTAAAAAAAATGAATCCCACCACTGAGCTACATGCTTACATAGACTCCATTTGGCACCCTCTTGAAATGATACAATTATTTGATGGGAGAAAGGCTGTGCAGAAATAGGCACAATTTCAGTCAAATCCCTTCAGTTCCTGACACCACAGAACAGACGTTAAAAAGAGCAGATGTTAAAAAGAACATTGGGGTCACCTAGTACCAAGTATGAATAGTATGGGGGAATTGTGTGATCATTCAAGTAACTTCAGTTAAACAATTTCTTAGCTGTGGTATCTATGATTTATATGTATGAATGTTAAGCCTGATAATTATCTGGAAGAGTGTTTAATATATATGTGAACTGAATTAATAATTGGTTTGTCAAATGGGCATCTCCCTCTGAGCATATTGGTATTGGAAGCCAACAGGTCTCATCAGATGCTCTGTATAATTCTGATAGGGGGATTTGATGTAGAAAGACCTCAGGTGTATCTTTAGTTAATGAAGAGATCATAGATCCAGAGAGGACACAATTACTTTTTAACCAAGTTTGATAACTAAGGTTATTTTCTAAGAAAAATCTTAAAAGACAAACAAGATACTGGCTTCTTTGTATAGTAAGTAGAAATGTAGTTAGTGTCAAGTAGAAAGCAAGTATTCCTTTGAACCCTAAAGAACTTGAGTGACATCTTGATTGATGTCAAGAGGTTAGGAAACTTGCAATTGCTGCCTCACAAGAGGCCCCATCCTTGTTTTGCCTCAACTGGAACCAAGTGTTTCAGCAGATTTTAGTTGTTTGTCAAATCTTTTTCTGATGTCAAGAAATTGCATAGTCCTGGGGATTGCTAGAAATAAGAGAGAATCTCAGATATGTTCAAGAAGGGATCATAGAAGCCAGTGGAGATAGGAACTCTGGCTGAAGATGAAGGAAATGTTTATAACCTCAAAGTTTGTTGTTCTAAGAACTTACTCACAGAGTCTGGTTTGCAGGTGAGATGAGCAATTTTGAATTTAACTAGCACTACTTACAAGAATCTACTGTATTAATTTCCCTAAGGCACAAGGGGTGGAATTTGCTTATGTATTTCTGGTTGGTAAATACAGAAGAGAACGTTTGAGGTCATATGGCCATCTATTCAATGATAGTTCTACAAACATTCATGCATACAATAAAAATAAATAAATAAATAAATGGAATTTAGCTCTGCCAATTAGGAATGAAAGTAATGGAAATACCAGTTTTGTGTAGCATTCCTTTGCATTATATTTAAATGCTACTACTCAGCACCTGTTGAGCTTTTCAGAGTTGTTTTGTGTATCTTTGATGGAGAAGAGTAACACACACTAAGAAGATTATTTATTGTATGAAATTTTATCTGTCAAGATAATTGATTTGCTTGAAAATTACATTATGTCATATAATCCTCCATCAATTTATAAGCAGTAAAAATGATCTGCCAGGTTATCATGCTTTGGATAGATGCTTCCAATTTTATTAGCTAAAAAAAGTCACTTGCTGTGGATCAAAGTTTCTTGAATTACCTAGCCAGATAGAAAAAGACATCAACGTGCTTTAAAATAGCACTGTCTGAAGTTGTTTTATTCAACAAAATCCATTTTGTTTCTTTCTATGGTACTAAGAATGGAAATTTTAAGGGATTCCTAAATTTCCACAGAGGTATATAGTCCCTCCATGAGGTGTGCTCTTATTGAAACGTGAGGTGCATATTTATTGCATTTTTTATCACTCAATAACAATATCTGCAGTAAAGAAAAATGCTTTCCTTTTCATCTCACTAAATCTACAATAAAGATGCTTATTGTGTTGTCAAATCTTATTGGAATATATTTGTAAAATATTCAAAAAGAGAGATGTTTGTTCACTGTCATTTCCTTGATTTGCACTCATAGATTCAATAATGTGCAAACTTGTTCCTTACGCCCCTTAAGTGCAGAAATAAAATCAAGGGCAATGATTATTTGAATATAACAAATTAAAGAAAGTTACAGACTACACCAGGGGTGTCAAACTCAAGGTGCTTAGATCTAGTCCATAGGGCCTGGAAACAGCAAAGGACTGGCCTGCAATGCCTCTGCCAGCGAAAATGGAGCTCGGGAGTGCTTCTGTTTTTTCTGACACAGGTGCCCCCAACACACGTGATATCGATCTGGTCATGCCCACCTGGCCCCGAGGTTAAATACAATCCTGATGTAGCCCTCAGTGAATTTCCACATCCCTGGACTACACTATGCTTCCATTTATTGCTGAACAAATTGCAGGAGGAAGAATGATCATCTGTCTTAATCTATGTCTTCTAGATGCATTGAATACAACTACTATCATTTCCACCTTCCACCTTTCTAAAGTGAATTTGAGAAAATGTTTTATTTATTTATTACATTTATATGCTGCTGATCTCAGTGTTGAAGTGACTCTGACAGATGAATTAATGAATGCATATGAAGCAGTGCAAGACTTTATTAAGTATCTCAATCTAGCCATTACCATTACATAAGAAAACCCATTTTGCATGCCTTACAATTCTATAAGTAAAAAGCATGGAAAATAAGCCTTGAGTAGCTGGGAATCACCTTTTTTTGGTACAATTTCTGCAATAGTTGGAGCTATTTAGCAAAAAGGGCAGGAGCCAAGATTTGTTTCATTTTGGGAAGAGTTTGGGAGTTATTATTTGGTTTTTGAAACTAAGCATATTTCATGGGTGACAATAAAATGCTCATGTTTTTCCTGTTTCAAAATGGTAGAAACCCACCTTTAGTAATTGTGAGATTGAAAGTGCAAAAATAAATAAGCAAATAAATAAATAAATATATAAATCTAGGGTAGAAAAACTAAACAAACCTTGCTATCAATTTCACTGCTTCCTAGAGCAGACTGAATCACATAAAGCAATGCATCAGTAAGTCCGTCACATTCTCTCATTCTTCTCCGAGCTTCTTCTCCAGCAGAGCTGACATTCCTGGAAGCAAATAACAATGTTGATTCTTTGCTCAATTTTATTTTTATTTTGTAAAAACTCATTAACATCGGTCTCTTTGAAGCAACTTCATTCACAATACAAATAGCTTCAGACTTCTACATACTGCAATCCCAAAACATTTGTGGTCTAATTTTTGAACTAGTTCAACATGCTCCTTTCCAAAACTCTTTGAAATTCTAATAATATTAGAACATTGTGAATCTGACAAAATTTAAAAATTAACAAAAGTAACTTTATGGAAGTAAGATGTCGTTTCTGATTAAAAATCTTTATAACCCTTACGTCTAAATTAATTGCTTTCTGTAAAAAAATAAAATAATAAAAATTAGCTACTATATATTTTTGCCTTTTACAATGAAACAACTGCACCTTGTAGACGTAGTGAGAAAAATATTGAGATTTAAAAGGTTTTGCATTAAGAATTTCAAACCTTTGAATTTTGTGTTATTTTCAGTTACCCAACATGTATTATTTTATATTAACATATTATGAATAAAACCTAATCTGCAAGAAAGTTTGATTTCTGATTATAATGGTGCTGTTGTCAGATGGGTATTGGCATTGTCTGACATGTCCTACCATTTTCATCCTGATAACCATTTATTTGCTATGCCCATTGCATATTGGAACCAGAAGCAAATGATTACATTCTGTTGGAGAGGGTTTGTATGTTATCTGCCTGGATGGCAGTATGGAAGATATGCCAAATCTTTCCTTCTTAAGCCATGTCAATTGCCATAGAGAAAGTTGTAATGCAGTACTGGATGGTAAATGTAAAAAGGGTCCATTGGTTGAAAGACTTTGCCTCTGTGATTCCAGAGAGGCAGAAACTACAGAATGTTGCTCCCTTTATGGAGGCATCTGAATCAGATTTATACTTTCTCTGACTAGTAGATATTCTGGTTGCCTAGATTCGGCTGATGCCCAGATGTTGCTTATAAATGAAATATTCTTTATTAAAGTGCATGTAGCTAAGTTTGTACAACAGCCCAAAATATTGATGGTTCAGTAACTTGCAATACATTCCTGTAACTATAATTCATTTAAATTTTAGATATTACTACTTCACTCGTATTAATAATTTTACTTTGTTTTAATTTTAGATATTTACTGTTTACATTATAATTTGATATAGGCTGCATTGTGGATTTACACATTAGATGCTACTTAGGTTATTTTACAAATGTATTTTAACTCTGTCTTTTTTATTATTATTATTATCTGCACTGGTCTTTGATAGCAAATAAATTGAATTGAATTGAGATACCTTCCCATTTATTCCAGCACTACATTTTAAATGATTTTACAAGTGCTGAATAATAATTTTTTTTTTCCCTCATTAATAAGACCTATTAATAAGTATGGAATCAATTCTTAGTCATAATTCATCTCTTTAACAAAAATAAAACTACAATAGTATATGATTGATACACAATGACATAGAGTGTATTTGATTTCATTTAAAATCACACATGTATTCATGCATCATACATGAATATGCTATATATGATATTATAAAATGATGAATATTAGTCATTTCCTCCAAGATAATGTTTATCTTTGTGGAGTCAGAAGCCATCAGCAAACTAATCAATTAAAATAGACTGCTAAGTCATATTTCCTGTATATGCTTCTAAATATATTTCCAACATTCTTTTTTACACAAATTTGCTTCCCATTTTTCTGATACTGGTTAATGAATTATTCAAATTTTAAAATAATTATGTACATAGTAGCAGATAACACCTTCTTTCAAAGTATACATTAATAATTCAAAGTTTGCATTCTTTCTTAAAAGAGCAATGTCTAAAACATTGTTTAATAATATCCTTCACTCAGATCTTGCTTTATGTAAGATGTTTTATCATCCATTGCTCTATATTTTTCTTAATTTTAGACTATTTTAATATTTCTCTATTATTAATAATTGCTACATTTTAAATATTCCAAAAATGAACAGAACTTCAATAGTTCAACACTTACTTTTACAAGATGTATTTAAAGAAAATCCACAGATTTCACCTAACAAAATTTCTTTAGCAGTGATAAGGTTATCCAGCATTTGTATGCTTTCTGATTCTATGTACCTTATTTAAAAAAATATTTAAATTTCTTGAAAACTTTTAATCCTTAATGCTATCTATTATATCATTGCTATTTATTGTATCTTTAGAAGTCTTTAATCAGTTTGGGAATACCTAATATATTAATGTTGTTATTTAAAAATGTTTAGAATGGTTTTAATGTTTTATATCTATTTAGTGGACTCTTGCAATGACAATACTGAAATAGATGACTTAAAATATATATTTTCTGGAAGTAATACATTTTCCAATATGTAAACTGTAAGTAAGACTACTAATGATTCAACTATTTGATTGCCCCCTTTGAAATAATATTGGATAACATAATGTTTCATAATGTTAATACCTATGTCTATCATTTGCACAAGGGACAAAATTGCTCAAATGAACAATTTCTCTCCTATTCAAATAGAAGCTGTTCATTAATGCAGTTCAGAATTGAAGTGAGAGCAAAAGAGCAACCAATTCTTATATACAGTGTAAAGTATAACTGTTCCAAGTCCTGACAGTCCTAAAGTAAATAATTAAAAGAGTTAAATGTATACTAAAGCAAAATTATACAGTTATGGCCCTTAGGCAGATTTCTAACACAGCTCATGGAAGTTTTGTAGAAAAGGCTGATGTCACCTCTTGATTGCTAGGAATGTTCACCATGCCATTGAAATTTAAAATTGTTAAAAAATCATTTATATTTTAAGCCCAGGTTTTATAATAACGACATATAATTCTTACAGATATGCCCTAATTTAAATAAAATCACATTTGTCTACAGACTACTGCAAAAGAATGAAAACATCATCTAAAATGACAACTAAGCTAAACATATCTAGCATGGTATTATATAGAACATTGTTTATTTCAAAAGAAAAGCAATCATGTAAAATTGTTACAGGATAGAATTTTTACATGGTCCAGTATTTGTTTCTATGGTCTGCATATAGAGCCTATCCAGACCTTTGCAGCAGAAATAAGATACAGTAGTCATACCCTTGCCGTGCTTTTCAATCATCCCAGAATATTGCCTCCATAGCTAACAGTGGGGCATTAAAAGATTCACAGAATTGCACTCTTAGCTATTATGCAAAACAGACATTCAAAACTGTATGCTTTGGCATTCACTATACAATATGTATAGTGGGTTGTAGGAATTCTTAAAATTATTATTTTTTTCATTTGCAGATATATCACTACATCCCTTGAAAGCACTGTCAGTGCTATGAACTTGAAGAACCAAGGTTTACTGATTAATTGTGGATTGGGATACATATAGTGCCTTTCTACTAGCCCTGTATGTAATTGGGCAGGTTGTGGTGTTGTGTGTTATGTACAGTAATATGTGATTGCCATGTCATTATTTGGTTATGCTGATCCAATACTGTTTTATCCAGATGTTGGTTACCAGATGTGTGATATAGAGCAGGGGTCCCAGGGAAACTGGGCCGTACAAGCAGCAGGCAAGCACACATCTGCAGCTCCACCTGCACAAGCGGCAGGCGAACACACATGCACGCAAAGCTCCATTTGTGCAAGTGGCATGGGTGTGCACCTGCTGCTTGCATGGAATTATCCCCTCTCCACTGCTGTTGCCAATGGTCCTCAAAGCCAGAACAGTTGGGACCACTGATAGAAAGGGAATGTTGTTGTGATCAGTGCTGTTTTCCTCTTGGTTATACAACTGTTAACCAAAAGTCAGATAAGCAAAATAAAGCACTATATTTGTATAATGGAAGCCAAGTAACAACATCTTAATCTGCAGAAAATATAAACATCAAATACCATCGGCCACCTAATCACATACTGGGCAGGCGGTATTCCATAATTTACCAAAAGATTTTACTTCTCCATGAACAACCCAAAACTCCAATCCTGAATGACATATACAGTATTCTCCACCATAGCAGCACTTACATATTGCAATAAATTTTACAGTTTTAGAGAAAAACTCTCTATAGTTTTTTAGAGTGTCAACCCTGAAGTGAGCCTGGCTGAGGTAATCTTTTAGGCTTCAAGTCTGCCTTAAAGCAAAGGGCAGTGTAAAGGGTGGGGGGAATTTTAGATAGCTCGGCTTGGCCATCAAAATAAAAACTTTTCTTGTGGGAACCAAGATCATTCCAACAGGTGGCTGAGAAGAGGAGGAGTGGAGTAACCAGGCAACCTGCTAGCACTACTATTGGACAATATGAGTGATGACCTAGTGAGAACTTATACTTTTTAAATTAAGTGAAAACCACAGGAACATTCAGGGTTGGTTTTTGCCAGTTGTGTCAATATGATGCATCCAACAAATTATTCGTTGAAGAATATACATGCCTTGGAGTTCTGCTTTCAATGGATGCATTACTTGAAACGCTGATAGTGGGTCCCTATATTTTAAAATATATACATTTATACAGTATATATATTTAAATTTGGTTCTCCAATCAAATAATATTCTTTTCAGTCAAGGCTACTCTGTTTTATTTTTACTCCTACTCATTTTTATATCTAGGCCAGTCTTTTTTTTCTTTCATTAAAACATATTAAATCTATTCAATCATTAATTATAACAGTGCTACGGGGTTGGATTGGCTCACACCAATCACACACACAGACACACACAGACACACACATTAAAAAAGGAAGACAGCAATAATAGCATATTTTGCGACAATTACCTTTATACAGTCATATACAAGTCATATTTCATTATAACTTGACATATTCTAATTAAACTACTTCTAGATATTAATTGATTAATCTATCACTGAAGCAGTTATTTGTATAAACCTGCTACTATTTTCACTAGGAGATGGGAATCATGCTATAACTACTACTTTAAAATACAATAGCTTTTTAAGGAAAAATTTCTGAAACGGGAAAGTAGATAAAGAGTCTTGAGGTCTGAAAACACCCAGGAAAATCTTTAAAAACACTGATAAAGAACTTTGAAGAGAATTTCATTTTTTCCCAACCCAATGAAATATCAGAAGAAAAAAGATAAGATGGTTCAAGACTTTGCCTGTCTGTCTGTCAGTTGGACAAGTCTCCAAAACCTGAACAGAATGAGACCAAATTTTGTATGGTAGAAAAAAATGAAAAACAGATTGGATCTAAAAATGAGGTGGATCCAGCTTGGGTCTGCAGCGTTTAAAATTTTCCCACTGTGTCCTTATGAGAAAGGCAGTTGAGCAGTGAATCAGAGTGTCCCCTAATCTAAGCCCACCCCAGAGCTTAAGCAAAGCTATTTTTAAGGGGTGGCAAAAAGTTATAGAAACCTTGCTATGAATGCTTTCCTCTTCCTTTTGTTTTAAGTATCCCAAAAAGCTTCCGCATCAAGTGTTCCAGTTCTCAGAAGCTGCACATCATTAAGACCACTTTCTCCAGAAATAGAGCAAAACAAAAGATATGCTAATGGAGATGTCAGTGAGTTGCTCAAGCTCAAAGATAAATGGGTTATTATGGATCTCCAGGCTTTTTGAAGATCATTTTAAAGAAACCACCAAATAATTCTTACCTCCCTCACAATTTCACTTGTAGAAAGCAAAATAGGAAAAGTTCTAGATTATTTATTATTGCTACATAAATTTGCATTATTTCCAGAAATAATTCCTGAATTGCAGTGTAACCCTGAAGAGCCAAAATCATGCAGTGAGCATGAATACATGTACATAGAGTGGAGATATGGTATAATTTAGCAAAAGGTTTGCCTGTCAAAAGTCACTGTTAGCCAAACTAAAGGCAGCTGGCTTTTGATATACTATATAGAAGCTACAACTCAAATCAATTGAAATTTTATGCCCCCAAGTCTTTCTGAGCAACGTCTGTGGAATATCTATAAGAATATTGCAGGTACCGTCTTTTAAAGATGACAGCCTAAAGCCATAATGTAAAGTGCTCCATTAAATGGTTCAGTGGTGTTTTCGCTGGCAAGGTTTTTTGAAAAATGGCATCCTTGCACATCACAAATTGCTAACCAGTTCTCTACAGACATTACACAAATTCAGAATTTCAGAAATTGTCATGCAGAGTAAGACTTCTATTCTGTGAACAATAAACAAACAAACCAAGTTGTACATTGCTATTCCACAGGCTTTTTGGATTGCACTCTAAATTTCCAAAGCAATATATTTCGTTTTTCACTTTGTTGTATGCCACCCAGAGTTGACTGTAAGATGGGCAGCTGTATAAATGTGATGAATAAATAAATATGTTTAGAAAGTACATGCTTTTAAGTTTATAAAATTTATTACTGTGTTAATATTTTTATAGCAATAACCAAAATGTGGTCCTATATTCACTACTTTGCTACAGTCAAATGGTAAAAAACAACAACCATGACCACTGATTTATCTCATCAGGTTAGTTTAATATTGTCATTTGTCCTCTAACCTATATTGAAATTCTGAATAGTAATACATACATACATAACATGATACACTCCCTTTCAGGGTAAGCAAAGTTATGCAGAGTCCAGAAAGGAAGGAAAGCATGAGATAGGAAAAGAAAAGGAAATATAGCTAAACCTACTTTATAGCAACACCAATTACCATACCTCTTGATACCTCACAGGATTGATACTGTGATAGAGAGAATATGATACAGTATATGTTCATTTGATCTTCTATAGGGGAAGGTGGGATATAGATAACACGTAAATGCTATAAGCTATTCTGAAAAAAAAACTTCGAAGGCCATTTCACTTGTTTATAAAGCATACAAAGAAATAAATAGTAGTTTGATCAACATGATATAGATAACCCTGCAGTTTAGATCAGTAAGAGCTTTTGATCAATTTGATACTTCATATATCTTTAGAACTCCAGGCAGATAGCAGAAAATAAGGATTATGAAATCCCTGATGGCTGATCAGCAGAGTTTTTATATCTTACAAGTTATATATTCCCAATGCAGAAGACTGTTGAGAATACAAGTGGTCCTTGCTTAATAACACTGATTCAATGACTGTTCAAATTTACAATGGTACTGAACATGTGTCCCCAGTCAGTGTCCCCATAGTCATGTGATTGTGATCCAGGCACACTCGGCTTCCTTCTTTGCTAACTTCCTGCAAACAAAGTCAATGGGGAAGCCAGAAGGAAGTTGCACATGGCAGCCAGAAGTGCCAGGATGTCCATCGCTAAGCAGTGTGGTCATGTGATATTGCATTTTACAATTGCGTTGTTTAGCAATGGAAATTCCATTGCCAATTACCACTATTAAGTAAGGGCTACATATATATATATATATATATATATATATATATATTCTGAGGTTCTCGCGGGTATTTGTATGTGGATCTTTGGTTATTCGGGTTTTCTCCCACGTAAGATTGGAAGTATCTAGGCAACGTTTCGATGAAGTCTCATTCATCATCTTCAGGCTTCTGTCTTCAGCTCTGTGCTTCTCAGAGTGATGTGAGCTTGCAGCTGCTTCTTCCTTTTAACTGCTAGTGGGGGTGTGACTTGATTGGGTGGGGGCTTGGCTGTGTTCTGATTGGGTGGGGGTGTGTTCTCATTGGTTGGGGGTTTGGCTGTGTTCTGATTGGTTGGGGGGTTGGCCATGTTCTGATTGGCTGAACAGAACACACCTCCAGCTGTTCCCATCTCTATAAATAATGGGAGGAATGGAAGAATTTTGTAATAAAAATGTCATACTATTGTTGTGTTTCTTATGATGCCTAAATAACTATTTTAAATTCTACGGCATTAAGAAAATAGAAGGGAGTGTCAAGCAGTTTAGCTATCAGAGCTCACCTTAGGCACCCAGTGGCATTGCGCAGCACCTGTGATGAATGAAGTTGAATTTTGTGGTCATCCTGAAGGGGGGAATTTTCCCATCCAGAATGAGGAATGATCACTGCATTGGTCAACACTGCTAGAGCATCCTGGATAATTGGCATTTTCAGTGCATCACAAGAAGATAGATTCCAGAGGACTCCTAAAAGGAAAGAAGCAAAGAATTGACATTTCTTCTAAAATCAGAATGAAGAGATACTGCACAAAAACACTACCTGAACATTCATATGTGAATCTTCAAATGTTCACTGTTTTCTACAGAAACTAGGGCATCACATAAGGGCACGTAAATATATACATATCACAGTCATCATCAAGGTTCAGCTATTTAATTCATTCCATTATTTCATTTAATATAGTCATATCCTGTATTCCCATCTGATCTCCTAACTAGGCTGGACCAGACTGAGACTTCACAAAATCTTGTAGATCTCCACAAGAATGTTACAACACGCCCTAAAACTTCACTCTGGCAACATTTGCTCAATGCAAGTGTCACAACTGTCTGAGGTGGTATAGCTTTCTGGCTTCCCAATCTCAGATGACAAACCTGAGGAGGCATGATGGCTCCCAGCCTTCTTGAGTTTTTAGATCTTGTCTTGTTCATAAGACTACACAAATGTATTTACAACAGTAGACTCTTAGAATAGTGTCACTTGCCTACATTGAGATCAATTTGGAAAAACCTGTTTACTCTATATTTGTCATCCCTAGTCATTTACTCCCTATTTATAGCAAAAAGTACAATTTTTATATAATTAAAATTTTATTTTAATTTATTTGTTGTGTCCTATAAGCTCAGTGATTAAGAGAGGTGGCTTAATTTTTTTTAAAAAATTACAATTTCTCATTATCACCTTAAAAACAGAATGGTAAAAATAAAAGTTATATTGAATGCTGCCCAGAGTCCTTCTTTGAGGAAGATTGGTGGTTTAGAAATATGAAAAATAAATTAAGGCAAATTAATTTAGCATATATTTAATGAATATATACCATTCTTAAAACATGAATACATAAAACAATCGGGAAAGAATTTAATGTAAATAGGTGAGATTTCAAATAAAACTATCCTTTAAATAAAACTATCCTCTAATTAAAATAAAACTGTTAAGTTGTTACTGTTGGGAAATGTTACAGATTCACATTTCATTTAAATAAGACTATGCAGTGTATTGATTGAGACTATTAGTGTCTATAACGCGGCATTGTGGACAGGAACTAGAAATGATTAACCATTGTTTCAGTAGGAGAATTCTCCCAGTGAAATATAAAGATGGCAGAGACTGAATTTGAAACCTTGCCAAAGAATTACTTTTTCATACCTTGTCATGATATGTATAAAATATGTTATTTTGGGATCTACAGGGCATCTCTATATTAGGACCTCCATTTTTACATCATGTATACCAATAGGTAGATTTAGCCAATCCCCTTTGTTATTCTTGAATGCATCTCAATATTGTTCCTGAACTAATGAAATGATTTTCACGTCCATAGTAAAAAGCAATTTTTGTACTGTTTGGATTGATGGATTGGATGGGGTAAACATCTCACCCACCACTTCTCTTTGTTGTGTTGACTCCAAACAATGGGACCCATGGTAGGGTCTGACACAAAACTATCTAATCATGTTGATGTTTATATGTAATATTATATGGATATTTAATAACATATTAATACCAAAATGCTCACATGAGCTCATTTGCTGGAATGAAAACATCTCACAAAGATGAAATGGAACCCTGTAATTTGTTGGGGGGGGAAAAAAACTCCAGCACACTTGAACAGGATAATAGAGAGGCGTTTCCCACCCCATCAACATTTACAAAAAAAAAAAAAAATCCAGCCTGTGTCTTGGCACTTATGCTACATGAATAACTGATATAAAATGTTATAATAAATGTCGCAATAAAAAATTACATATCCATGACTACACACTTCAATAACTGAAGCTAATGTCAAGAATACTTTTGTAGAAATTTAGTACATTAATTAAACATATACATGAGACATGTTCTACCCATTCACAATTTTTCAAGCAAGTCTGAATACTATCTTATTCTATATGTCAAAATACTTTACACAAAACTACTTAATAAAAGAAATTGATAAAAGTATTACATTATGTTTAACTATACACATTTCCTCTGAAAATGTCAGAGTTTCTATATTTATTTTCTCTTGTGAACATTCTGACATCCAGAAGTCTCAACTGTACAGTTACATAAGAAAAGCCATACCTTCTCAAGCCTTTGTAACTGAAATGAGCAAAAAACCCAGTAGGGAAGAACTAACTACCTGGCTGGAGCTAGGATTTGTTTTCTAGCCAGCCCTTTCTGCCAATTTTTCCACACTTTCTGAACAAATTGCTTGGAGAAAATTGGCTAGGGGATTGGTTCAGTGATGGAAATGAGAGAAGCACTGCAGATCACTGGTTAAGTACAAATAATGTTCTCATCAGTTTTAATCAGTCAAGAGCTCACCACTCATTTTGGACTGTAATTTACATCACTGCCAGTCTGTATGAGACAATGAAAGGGAACTATTCTTGAATGTATTCAGATGCCTATTTATTAACAGGTTGTGAATTAATCAGATAATGAAGGTAATATTTGCTTAGGAATGGATAGAAAACTGGCCAAGATGAGGGAGAACTAGTTTCACATTTCCCTCCCAAACTGTCTTTTATAGCCGAGAATATTCCACTAAGAAAAGACTGAAAAATAATGCTGTGCTGATACATTTATTTATAGTAAAGAGGCTCCTTCCTCATCTCTTGCTCTCTTACGTGCACATGCAGGTGGCGTTAACTGCTATGTTCCCTCTTTAATTCATTAATAAATCATAGATAAAAGGCATACTGAGAAGCAGAATTCCCCTTTGTTGTTTATGTTCCCTAGTGCCTACTTCTCCCTTGCAGCGAAGTAGTGCGACTGAATGCTTTCTATAACATTAAAATTCCACGTGTACAGAATTGAGAGAGAGAGAGAGAGAGAGAGAGAGTGAAAGTTTGCAATGAATGTTAAAGAGCAGTGGAGAATTTTCTTGGGTTGCTGATTTCATTGTCTTCTGTTTGAAATTGAACCGTCCAAGACTATTTTTATTAATTTTATTAATTTGCTATTGCTGAGAGCTAGGTTCTACTTTGCTACAGGTTTCAAATATTAGAGAACAAGAGACAGAAAAAGAGTGCAAAAAGACTCCGCTGATTGAAAACAGCCTCCACCATATCCATGGACTATCCACTAACTTGTACTCTTTTCTCTTTCACAGGTGCTAGAATTCCCCTGTCTGAGAATTAACAATTGTGTAATTTTTCTCTAGAGGCTAAGAGGAAGATTCTGAAGCTAGTTCACTTTGTGCCAGGTAGTTCCTTCCAGCCACCAGGCAAATCCACCCATCTTCTTTGCCCTGGCATGAGGCTTATCTACTAACACTGTTTCATAATAGCCCAAGGTACTGGAAGTGGTGCTTCCCCTGTTATCCTGTCTGAAAGCACTATATGCAGCCAATATATGGTACATTTATGTACCCTGAAATGGTATGTCCCATTGCTGAGCATCTTGTAGCTCCAACTGGTCCTTTTTGTGGGAACAAATCTTTCAGTTGGATTTCTGATCTCTTGCTCCATTGCTTACCCCACTTGTGGCTGCAGGAAGATAGAAACTCCAGTTTCTGTAGTCATATTTTTCTCTTTTTTAAGTTAGTTGGTTAACTATAACAAACCCTGAAACTAACCCGAAACTGACAGAGAAAAGCTAGATCCTCACATTCTGCCTTCATAGGATAGCTTATAGCCTTCCCCTCTCCTCCCTTATTCCCCACAGTTGAACATCTTTCTAAATCTCTGACACTTCCACCAAAGTGATTTAGTGGTCACATCTGAGCTATGGAAATTTTGACAACTACTAGATAATAGCTAAGAGATATAAAAAAGTTTTTGCTGCTGCTGACCAAAGGTCAAACAGTCAAACAAGCAACCTATAAAATACAAAATCTTTACTAGCCCATCCCTGGTTAATTTCAAACATTTGAAAATATAATTGATAGTGCTTTTGTACCATTTGTGGTTGGGAATTCCTTTCCCAGTGGCCGATCCTGGCTTTCACTCCTCACATTACACCTTTAAGCTCCCATGCAGATCCTCTCACAGTTAAAAACATTAAATTCCAGCTCACCATCAGAATTTACTCACTGGATTGTATCTTTGTTGGACAAATACGACAACCACTAAATAACAGCTAAAACATTTTTTTTTGCTGCCATATAGAGGTTGATAGTTTCAATCCATAATTTCAGGAATAATTAGTTCAATCAATTGATGGCAGAATGGGAAAGGAGAAAACAAAAAACAATCCTACAACACATGGAGCATTATGCATGCCAGGTGGGTGGATCTGCACAACACAATTTTGGCAAGGCTGGAATTTCCACTGAAGAAACCATCAATTCTGGCCCTTAAAATGCTTTGTGCAATGCAGTACAGCCATTTCTGGGTTTCTAAGGGCACACCCTGTGGGGTAGCAAGACTTTGGATGCATGATTGACTACCAGTTCTGGGAGAAAAGATGGGCCCGAAAAAGCAGCTGTGTGGATGTAACTTTTCTCTGAGCTTTCAAACAGGGAGATATAATGCATTCTTTGGCATGAGGAAATGTAATGTATTCTTTGGCCTAAGGACTTCAAGCAAAAAAATGAGCTTAATTGATTCTCTAGCACTTACATATATTTCCCTAGTTGTATATATGAAATAAAGTATGAAGAATTAGATGAGAAGTTTAGTACTTAGCATGTAAGCATTTTAGTATTATATTCACACACAAAAACAAATAATATAATAGTAAAGATCTATACTTAAAAGTTATTAATGAAATTGTAGAACTGAGAAAACAGCTCTACAATTTCATTAATAACTTTTAAGTATATAGATCTTTAGCATGATATTTTTTTTTATATGTTTAGTAGTCTGAAACATTTTATTTACTTTTATTGGTCTTTTAGAAAATGTTTATATATTTTGTCTAAGTATTGTAACCTCTTACAAAGTTTGCATAAAACTGGTCAATGGTCAATGGTCAATGACCATAATAAAGATGCTACTACTAAATACCTCTGAGGCACAGAGACTAATACTTTAATTTTAATTATACTAACAACCAATATCTAATTAATACGTTTGGTGCACTATTTTTAATTCTTGGGAAAATGGACAATTAAATTAGAATAGAATTAATTACTAAAACTTATAGTATAAATATTTTTAAAAGTCTCAACTAAAATAAATGAAGTTTGAACAGTAGTGTTGGTAATACATACATATTTCTTTATAATCAGCATAATCTGGAGAAATATTTATTAGCAAATGTGACTTTAAGATTTGTAGAATTTCTTTACTAAATTCTCAAACATGTATTGAAACCGATTTAAAGGGAATCTTATACCATAAAGAGTTCCAGATGACAAATTAAAATCCTCAACCTTCTTCCCTTACTTTTTACAGCACTTTCAAGGGAGCCTATTAATTCTGAACCAATATTTTGATAATATTGAAGAGGTTCCTTTGATTTTAAATGAGCATATTGATCATTCTTTAAATATTGTTAATATTGCTGACTGATAAGATTTAAAAATAAGCAATTTTAATTTTCTCATGTGTTTCTAACTATGGCCATTTTTGTCTGATTTACAACAAATCATATCTCAAGCTCATGCTACAGAAGATGGCATAATAGAATTATTTCACATTTATCATTCTTCTTTTTCTGGGATTTGCCAGTACAGACTTTGGGATTTATATACCAACATTAAGAGGGAATGTATCTTTGAAGCAAATAGGTGCTGGTATAGAAAGTACTGCAAACGGTTGTGCTAAGACAGGAAGGTAAGCTAGGGTGTATAAAATCAAGGTAACTTTTGTGAAAGGACATAATCTCTTTGGCTCATTTCTTTGGTGTTACCAAACTCACAGTAGACATGGGCTAGAGGAGCTGGTAACTGGTAAACTGGACTGCAATTTGATTTCTATAATCAAGATGAGCTACAAATTTCTGTTTCGATCCTTTTATCCTGGGGTACCAGGATTATTCAAACTTTAATTCTTTTCTCCAAGCAGAAGAAAAAGATGACAGAAATCAGCTGGCTGCAAGTTGGTCAAAAATTTTTAATTCCAAAGTCTCAGGTGTGCACTCAGTCAGTTCTAATTATTTCATGCTTAATAATCTTCATGCCCATTTATGCTAACTTGAAGAAAATGTAACGATGACATAACTGCTGAAAGAGAGAGCTTTAGAATCTGGCCCAGAAATTGATCATTTGAACTCTAAACTCTGTATTTGTGTAACATGCATAAAATAGGCAATGTTTTAAAGTAAACTGTTAACAACAATAACAGTCATCACTCCCAGCCTCTAACCCCAATACGGAAAATTATATTATAATTGGGGATCTTGGAGGCTAACATCCAAATCTCTGCATTAAAAGGCTCAGATGTTTTCTATTTTTTTAGACTATAATTACTTATGCCCTTATATTCTGCATTGTAGCTTTTAGATTGTCTTTAAGGGTAGTAGCCCCATGTAGAGCCCATTGTAACAATCTAACCAAGAGATTGTTGCAGTTTGAGTGATCACAAGCAATCCCCTCCCAATCTAGGAACAGATACAATTGGCACAAACGATGAACTTTTGGAAAAGCCCCCTCCCCTGCCTATCTCTCCCTCTCCCTCCCTCCCTCCCTCCCTCCCTCTTTCTTTCCATTCACTCACTCACTTTTTATAGTCACTCATCTCAGTAGCAAACAATCATAAACTCCATTAAAACCAAATACAAGCTATAAAAATCTCTTTTCATTCTTATGGGTGGTATGTGTCTTCCTTAATCTCCCAAATCTGGGACTTTGAGGGTTCTGCATAGTATTTTAGCACTGCACTCTTCTGGACAAAGAGCTCTTACGTTGTTCCTACGAATTATTGGAGTCATTCTCTCAGTTTAGGAGTCATCCTGAGTGCTCCTATCACCTACGAGCAGGCTGTCATAGGGGGTGGGGCTGCGATGGGTGGGGCTGCACTGGATGGGAAATGAGAGGTGGTGGGGTGTCAAAATGGAAAGCCCCTGCTGCCCTGCATTTTTTTTTAAAAAGCTGCATTGCTTAATGTTTGAGAGTGTCTTGCTCTGAAAATAAGGAAGCAATGGAGTGGGATGTCAGCTTTTTTAAAAGCTAAAAAGGCTTGTTTTGAGTTGCATTCCAATCCTTGCCGATCAAGCAGATTGCAAAGTTTGCAGCCGCATTTAGCTGCAGATATGATGCACTATGGAAATGGGGCTGCATGGACAAGAACGTTTGGAGTCAAACTGAAAAAAAACCCTCTTCTCAGCATTACTTTTTTCACAGCATCGGTGTTGGCTTTGGCGGAGGACATTGCTCTGATTCTCCATCCAAACACACTCTGCATATGACCATGAAGTCATCGACCTGGCTTTGGGGGGGGGGGGAAAGCACTTAGCAAATGACCAGAAGCACTATGATTTCACAGGGTTTCTGATCATGTGCAGAGTGCTTTTTCCCAAAGCCAGGTCCTGCCAGCTCAGGTGTCGCCCAGATTGACAAGCTCTGTGTCAGATGCTTGGGTCCAGGCCAATCTTATGGTTAAGTGACCTAAGTGAGCATTAAATAGATGGATTATAATTAAGATGATTGACAGTTTGTCCCTTGTTGCTTCAAGTCAGGTTGTGGACTACTTCAGGGAGACCAAGGATAGATAGTAGAACCAAGGACTGAAGCAGAAGGTTGAAATAAAGCTATTGTTTTCTGTTTTATTATTATCTGCCAGTAATACTGTCACTCAAAGGGATACATGATGCATCACATCATCACCACAACAAGGAGTACTGTATCTAATGAATTCTGCCTTTGACAGGTAAGAGTTGAAAGACGAAATGATTAAAATATTTGGAATCTGTAATCAGAGATGAATCATAGAGTCTGCAGTCAGGATAATACCCTGTTTCTCCAACAATACGGCCTCCCCCAATAGGAAGTCCCAGCATGTTTTATAGGCATGAAATGAAATTAAGCCCCTCCCCCCAAATTAAGGTCTATATTAAAACATGCAAAATGGGGGGGGAATGGTGGGGGGGCTTGCCGTTAAGAAATACTTTTGTTGCACACCTGGATATGGTGCTGCCTGCGTTGACCCCAATACGAAGTGCCCCACCAATGCCAAGGTCAACATCCAAGCCGTCGCCGCCCGCCCAAAGATGCAAGGGGGGGAATTAAGTCACCCCCGAAAAGACGGCCTAGCCAGTTTTTTGGGGCTCAAAAAAAAATAAGACCCGGCCTTATTATATGAGAAACACGGTATATGCAACTTATTTTTTTTTACAAGAGAAGGCAGAAGAAGATCTTAAAAGGGGACGGTCCAAAGTCATTAAAATAACATAGTCAGGATATACAGAATATCAGAATTACCATTAAATAGTATTTTAAGGAATCATCAACCACATTGTACACTGTAGAAAATTTCATTCTCCTTCCTCCCTTATTCAAAGAATTTGAGGCAGCAGCACCGAGCTTAAGCATAGTAGCAATCACAATTGTTATGAAAACTGCTGTCTGCATATTACTCAAGGAGGAATATGTATGTGTCTTGCTGTACATGCCTATTCTACACATTGGCAAAACCAAGATTTGTTTTAATATGTTCAAATATACAAGTACAATATTGAACCCGTGTTTTGTTTTTATCAAGCAATGTATTAAAGTGTCTCAGGGACTGAGTTAATTCTTAAAAAGTTAACAAGCAATAAAAGAAAGATATTCAAACCTGTGACCAGTTCTCTGATTTCCAAATCTGTAGTCTTCCGGAGTAATCGTACTAGTGCTGGAATACCCCCACAGTTTTTCAAAGCAATTTTGTTGTCATCATTAGCTTTCCCATATACCAAGTTCCTCAGAGCCCCACAGGCACTACGGTGGACTTCTGTCATTCGATGGTCCAAGAGATCCACCAGTAATTGTATCCCTCCTTGTCTTCTTATCTGCATCAGCAAAAGAAAACCAAAGAAATCAGAAATTAATCCTCAGTGTGGTGATTCCTTAGTTTTTAGACAGCAATTAGAAGAGAAAATAGAGCAGCCAGCAAGAAAAGATGCTGGACTGACTTCCTATAATACCTTTGTAAGCAAAATCTTTTCCAAAAACTCAAGTACTGATCAAGCACTGATCAAAACAGTTGGACAAATTATGAAAAAAAGTATTTGGAAAACAAGTATCCCTCCCTCATGCCATAAATAAAATACTAACGGTTTAAGATGTTATTGTCCAGTGTGTGGAGAAATCTGTCAGTCAGAATTTTTTATCAAGGACGACTGAATGGCATTTCAGTTTCTAACTGCTTACAGTAATTATATACCAATAAATTAGCTTCTGCAAGGCAATTAATTGCAATGAAAAAGTAAAAAAGTCTGTAACATTTGCTTTACAAAAAAGACTGCTATAGCTCGGAAACAACCTTAAATTATACTGTATTCTTTGTTTTGTTTTTGGCCTAGCATTTTTGCAAATCTAAATTATTCAACAAAATATTCCTAAAATTTTGTAATGTTAATATAAATGCACTCAATATAAACATTAAAATGTTTTTTAAAGCAATCTACAGTGCATATTCAGAATGTGTAGAAATTATTAGAACTATAACAGTAAATGAGGTATTATTTAAAATCAGATTAATTACACTGGTCCTACATTCATTTATTTATACCCCACTTTTATTATTTTTACAAATAGCTCAAAGGAGCAAACGGGCGAATATACCTGTTCTATGCCCCGTTTCAGTAGAAAGTTGTCTTGTGTCTTAGGTTATGTAAAAGAACAGTTTATGAATATTCTCTGGATTTCAGATCAAAAGCAGACTTGTATACCTTACATGGGCCACAAAGTTCCAGAATCACAAATATTCCCTTATACAGAATTCTTATGTGTCCATTGGTTGGGCTAGACAGTGATCAAATTAATCTAATTTTCAAGCTTTCTTAAAAGACACATTTACATACTCTCCACCTCATTTATTAGATTTGATTCCTGCCAGATACTCCAGGTGGTATACATGGTGTTGCTTCCTCCTATTTTCCCCAATTACAGGTCACGTTAAGAGACAATGAGTGGTCACAAGTCATGCAGGTGGCTTCTGTGGCTGAGGGTGAACTAGACTCTATGATCCTTCAAGGTTAGTTCAATATTTTATCACTCCACCAACTGGCTCACATAAACTCTTTTTATACTGGGTTATCTTAAACAAAAAAGATTGCTCTTATCCATCTTGTTCTAAGGATAGAGCTGTTGTAGTATGGACAAATAAGAGGCAGGAATTTTGATACACACACACAGACACACACACACAAATAATTATTATTAATGACTCAAAAGATAGACAAAAATGCAAAATTCAGTCTAAACATCTGGCTGAATGTGTGATCAACCATAATAATAATAAATGATAGATGAAATGAATGATCTATCATTACCCTTTCCTACATTTTCCTAATAAGATTGTGGCCCCTTTATTATAACATACAGAATCGTATTGTACAAAGTAAGTATTCTAATTGGCAGTTTTGGACTATTTATTTAATTAACAGTATTTATCAGCCACTCCAATCTGTACAAACTGGATGAGAAGCAAGAATCAAATATATAGTAAATTAAAGCAATCAATGATATTCATAATAAATGACCTAAGATGATATGGTCAATCACCACTATGGGCTAAAAGCTAGCTGTAACAAATTGATCTTGGAAAACATAAAGGGTTGGGACTATCTGTACTTCTGTATGTAAGATATTCTGTGAAGTAGGATTGCTAATGAGAATGCCTGGTTACATAAGGGCAAAATATGCACATTTTGAGAACTTAATTTGGAATTTCTGCAGCAAGCAAGAGACAAGGAGTAAAATCTTAGCCACTGTCACCAAATTGTCAGATGTATGTTTCCTCACCATGGTAGAGTGAATAATCAATAGTTCTTATTGGTTTTATAACATTGTTGAAATTAAAGCAAAGACTATCATTTTCTATTTATAGAGATTCCCATGCAAATATATACTCCAGGAAAAGTATGTAATTTTTTTAATGTCCAGAATCATATATAAATATTAGATAATCCATGATCCATTGGGTCATCCTTTCAAAGGTATTTCCTTACTTAAATGGATAAACAGAATCACCACAGGCAAGCAAATAAACATTGGGAGCAAGAGTGACTTCTTCCTGCCAGGTTCTTGTGGGAAGCTGGCAGGGAATGTTGAAAATCACCATATGACTGTGGGTGACTGACACTGAAGCAACCAAAACTTTGAGAATAAAATTGTTGTGAAAACCATTGGAAATTCAATTAAACAGGAATAATGGCTCCCAGAATTTGAATGCCTTTTTTAAGTTAGTAGATGACAGAAATTAGCTTCTTATAATATTTAAGTTCTTGAGCCTTTCTTTAAGATTGGGGAGGGAGAGGATGAGAGGAAGAGAGAAGGAGCTCTAAAGATAAAGAGGGAATTTATGATATCCGGAAAACAAATATCCCACTACTTTTCAAGAATCCTTCTCCAATCCTTCTCTGGTGGTGGAATAATTTTACATTGCCAAGAAGTAAACAAATTACATTCACCTTCTTCTATCTCCCAATTTCCACCTTTTATTGCTTGTGATAAGTACCAGCCAGGTACTTAACTCATCTTAACTGCCTGAGAATGAATTATAGCTGGGTATGTAAGTGGCTGAGCATATTACAACCTATTTCTTCCATTAATGTTCAGTTACTTGCCTTTGAATGAGCATCAAGGTCACTCATTCCAATTTAAAAAAGGATATGGATCCTTGTTAATCTTTATATTTAAGAAGGAAAGGGGTTGAAAATCATAATATAGGAAATTATGAAAAAAATGAAGAAACAAAAGGAACTTCCAAGTAAAGAACTAATTCCACTGCTTCTTAAATTTCAAAGCACCAACTGAATAAAGTTGCTGTAAGTACAACTATGTTAATTGCAGTTACGGTGTCAACTGAGTTGAATAGGTTTCTCATGGTTCACCCTTTCATTTGATTATATGTCATCAAGCTGTTTTCATTTCTAGCAATCACATAGATCACAGGTGTCAAACTTGTGATGTCACGTTGCCGTCATGTGACATATTGTGACTTCCCCCCTTCACTAAACTGAGGTGGGCCTGGCCAGCGCGTGACGCATCTAGACTGTGGGCCGCGATTTTGATACCCAACATAGATTTTCTCCAAAACAATAATAATCTGTTCTTTCACAAGGATTCTAATTTCACAAGGATTCACAACGGGCACTCACTATAATTAAATGCTTCTAATTTGCTGTTTCCTCCCTTTCTCCCTGTTGTCCACCCTGCAATATTATTAACAAAATGAGGTTGTTCATAGAGAAGCCAAGATTCCAATGACATATTATTTATTCCTACTTTACTTTTTCCACTGGTGTAAATACCTAAAATAACCAGAAATGACAAAATGACAATGTATGATAACTTATAACCATGTCCTTTCAACTGAATTGGCAGTTGAAAGGACATGGTTATAAGTTATCATACATTGTCATTGTATATTTTTCATTGAGAATTGTGTCCAGTGCAGGTTCTTAAGTTTTTTGACCACTTCCTCTTGTCTGGAAGATAATAAAATCTTCCTTAGAGTGAGATACAAAGCTTAGAAAACAGAGCTGAGACTTCTAATCTCTTTAGCATTATATAACATATAACATTTTACAGTGTTAATTTCCACCAGAATTGTAGGAAAGTGACACCATTGTGTTACATTTCAAAGAAATTGGCAAAAGCCTGCAAACCAGATGTTTCATGGTGCAGAGGAGAATTGATGAAGCAGTACAAAGTATTTCTTTAAAACATATTTCTGTTTGGTATCACTGCAAATTTCAAACAGCTAGGCAGAGGGCTTTATGCAAAGGGAGATGGTAATTATTCCCAAATAATTAAGCATTCTGTTTTTATTTTACAGATTTTAAATATACTTTAACACGTGGCCCTTGCTTAGAATAATTTAGTAGCTTTCTCTCTTGTTAGATTTTTTTAAAATGTATCTCTCTAATAGGGAAAAGAGCTTGAACAATCTCTGGCTGTAAGTCTCAAGAAAGCCGTGAAACATTTAGAGATTGATATACTACAACGGAAGAAAATATGTGAAAGCCATTACAAAAGCAGCAGCTGGAAAGACAGGAAGGTATGAGATAGAAACTCGAGCTTCATCTGCCTTGTGTCTCTTGGGTATAAGAGAAAGGAAAAAGAAACTGTCACACTTTCCAGATTCTGTTATTATAGTGTGTATCTTTCTTACATTAATTTTATTAAAGATTATAATTTACAACAATACAAACTAAAGAAAAAAGAAAAATAGGTGTAGAAAAAATAATATAATAAAGAATAGAAGATACAAAGAAATGTTTTCCCCTTCACCACTATAAACAAATGTTAGTAATGTCATTTTCTCTTAAAAATACAATAAATGATCTCTTCTCATATCCCATCTCATCTATAATAAATCCATAAAATCTGACATTTCAGTCCTGATCTCAACAAAAGTCCATTAAGAAAACAACATATCTATTAATCTTAAAATCCAACTTTGTATCGCTTTTATTACCAACTTGATCTTAGTTTCTTCAAATAATACCTTAGCCTTGATTTATCTTCATTTTTTTTCTTTACCCCTTCTCACAAAATTATTCAAAGCTTTAATAAGCCAAAGCTTTAATAAGCCAAAGCTTTACTAAGGAGGATAATACATGTACATGTGTTTCTGTCTTTTGTCCTTTTAATGAACATTTGTCTTTTGTATTTAAAATTTTGTCTATTTTTGGTTTTGTAAGGTTTTTTTTTTTTTTTTAGAATTTGTATTTCATCTTAGCTCTCTGAATAAAAGAAAAATTATTTAAAAAGTATTTCCAAAAAAGGTATCTTAACAGATAGAAGAATGTCCTGAAGCCATTCTAATATCATTCTCTAT